TCTGTTTATGTAGTCATTTATTTTGGGCAGTTCCACTGTAAAGATGCGATAAAAAGAGTGAAACCTTATCCCTTTGATGGAATTTCATTCCCATTAAGAGTTTATGTATGGAAATGTCAGTTTTTCATAACTGTTTAATTTATGTTAGCTTGTTTTTAAACTTATGTAAATATTTAACTTTCAAATTTAAATCTAGGGAATTGAAGTTTAGATTGATAATCTGTGAGATACTTGCTTTTCTACTCCATCAATTTTATTTTTGTTTGGTACTGCAGTATATTCTGTGATTTTTTAGTAGTCTTTCTTTTATGTTTCTATTTCATAAGTTTTTGTCACATATTATATACCCCAGAATAATTATAATTTATTTGTAATTATGGAATTTCTTGGTTGACTTATTGATTATGCATTAAATTGATGGTAGGAAAAAATGATAGAGCTGCAAGATGAAACACAAGTAGGGGAAAGTGAAAAAACATAAGCAGAAATACGTGAGGAAGTTTTGGGTAAAACTTCCGGATTTAACCAAAATTTTGCATTTTCATAGACTGAGCATCATGATACTGCAGTAGAAACAGAGTTAAGGTGTATAGTGTAACAACAAGAAAATAAGATTAAACAATTGGAGGAGCAACTCATCTTATTTGATTAACAAAAATAGAAAATAAAAAGCCTTGAACAACAACAATTTGTCCTGTTGGAGATGATGAAGCAGCTAACTATAGCCCTTGAACAACAACAATCTGGTAAAGCTCCAACTCGACAGTCATCGCCATCTCCAACTAATGAAGACTCATCCTCATCAGCTACAGCTATTTCAAAAACCTCAACTGGTGACACTTGAGATGCTAATAATATTGATGGTTAGTTTTTTGTTGTATAGGCAGTAGATATTTTGACATGGGGGTAAGACCATCTTTTTAGGATTGTTTGCATATATCTGTTAGATGGTGTACATGGGGTGACATTTTTTTGTTAGTTATGCACATATAGATAGCTAGTGATGAAAATGTGGCTGCATGCTTTTTTTTTGGTTATGCACACGTTATAGTGCATTTTGGATTTTTATTGCTCACCATGCATAAAAATCCATGTATGGACTATATATATATTATATATAGATATATAATAATATTATATATTATATATATATATATATATAGTATAGATATATAATATATATTATATATAGTATATATAGATATATATATATATATATTATATATATATATATATATATATATATATATATATATATGTATGAAATTGATGATTTGATGTTAGTGATTAGTTTTTATATTAAGTCAATTTTTTTTGTTGATGTTGAATGTATAAACTAGGTCAATACGAATGTTTTTGCCACTAATTATTTTCTCAAATAAAAAAAAATAAAAACATATTCTGCAACTAATTTTTGTAGCAAAAAGTAATTTATCATAATTGGATTCACATTCAGCGTTTAAAATTATTAGCATTAACCACCAAATTTTGGTCACCAAAAGATACATTCGTCCACTAATAAATATTCGCGAAAACCTTTTGGATTCCACATTCAGCGTCTAAAATGATTAGAATAATCACTAAATTTTGGTCACCAAAAGAAATTCGTCCACTAATAAATAGTTGCGAAAACTTTGGATTCCATTCCATCTAAAATTATTAGAATTAACCACCAAATTTGGTCACCAAAAGATACATTCGTCCACTAATAAAATAGTCGCGAAAACCTTTTAGATTCCACATTCAGCTTCTAAAAGTATTAGAATTAACCACCAAATTTTGGTCACCAAAAGATACATTCATCTACTAATAAAATAGTTGCGAAAATCTTTTATGAAATTACCCTTACACCTTCAGCGTCTAATTTTTGTGGCATTCGCGACAAATTATTAGACACTAAAAGGTATATTTTGCAACTAGTTGATTAGTCGCGATACCATTTTACCAAATTACCCTTGAACAATTAGCGTCTAAGCGGGGGGACTATTTCAACTAGCAATTAGCGACTAATTTGCTAGTCGCCAAAAAAAAACTTTCCGCGTCTAACCAACAATTTAGATGCTCATACTTTCTGCGATAACGATTTTGCAACTACATGACGACTACGAAATTTAGATGCGCAAGAGATTTAGTGTCTAAATTTTACTTTTGGCATCTAATTTTGCTAGACGCCAAAAGCCATTTTTCTTGTAGTGGCACCGCAACAACAATACTAGTACAACTACAAACAAGTGAGCTCTTCATTTGTTTTACTTCTCGCCTTTCCTCTTCTTCCTCCATGAAAATCACTCTAAATCAATCCTGAGTCCTGGATGTGCTAGAGATTCTTCCCAAATTTCCCTCTCCACTTCTCTCAGTCGGAGATTAAGAAACAGTGGTAGTATTAAAAGTGGCCAAGCTTCACCCATGTTCTCGACTTCCAATGGCAAGAAACGTGGGTGTTCTTTTGAGAACCCTGAACCTTCCTCTCCCAAGAAACAAAAAATTATAGAAACAAGAAACAAGGCAAGAAAAATAAGGGCTAGATCCAAGCGTAAGAGAGGTTAGTTTTAGAAACGGGTGACCCGTGGGTCGACCCATACCCACACGGGTGGGTACGGGTCATGCATTTTCCTACCCGTTACCTACAGCTACCCAGCCCGCCTGTTTGCTAGGTCTACTATAATAGGGCCATGTTCTTTTTATATTAACACACTACACCCGAATTGGGTTATTCGTAGGGGTGAGCATGAGTAAAGGGTAGAACTGGAACCGGCAGGTACCCAGTAGGAACCAGAACCGACAAGTACCTAATAGAAACCGGAACCAGCCCGATTAGAGTCTGGTTTTGGTTCTAGAAAATTGGAATTGAGAATTCTCAGGTCCAGTTCCGGTTCCTATAGTACTGGAATCAAGAACCAGAATCGAGGTGCAGATACCCGGATAGGAACCGGGATTGAATTATAATTTTTGTAAACTATTGGGGTATATTTGTCAATTTTTTAAAAAGTAGAGAGGTAATTGAAATTAACCTGGGTACTCGAAACCAGAACCTATGTTTCAAGTTCTGATTCCAATTCTGGTTCCAAATCTTAGGAACTAGCATATTTCGGTTTCTTCAAAAAGTGCAGGGTACCTGGAACTGCTTGTCTCTAGTTATTCGAGAAAGTAAAGAAACAACATTCTAGCCCCTTTTACGTTTGCTCTACTCTCTTTGAGTTCTGATATTTTATATTATTTGTAATTATTGTACAACTTGAGCCACTTTGTTGACTAATGAGATATATAGATGTTGCAACTTATAATATTACATTGCATGGGATAGAACTATATAATATACCAAATATAAGTGTATGTCTGTTGTATTTTGTATCGTATTAAAAATATTTATCTAAATAATTCACTTAGTAATTTTTATAAAATGTTTAATTAATAATTTATTTTATTATAATAACCTATAAATATATAATATTTTTTAATTTAATATGAATTATATGATTTATCAAAATAATAATGTGACCATAATAATTAAAATGAAACTAAAATATATTAAATACAGTAGAACCTCTCTATAGTCATAATGTTAGGACCAATTAAATTTATTACTCTAAGGAGGTTATAATTTAATAGAGATGTAGTTACAAGAATTATTATTTTGATTTCTTATTTAATTATTGTTTTGATTTCTTATTTTATAATTCATGTTTTAGTAGTATTAGGATTTTAATTCATTGTTTTAGTAGCATTAGGATAGCACAGAAATGGATATCAAAAAGTCACTGTAAAATTGAGTAATCAGATTTGACAACTTCACTACACTGATCAAATGGATATTATTGTCTTCCTCAATAATTCAAATAAGCAATTAGTCGTGTATGTTTTAACTGAAGAAGAAATCATTACTAGAATTAGACAAGAAGAGGAATGAGATAATCTTGAGGATGATAGTACGGAAATACCAAAAATTTCATGCCAAGAAGCTTTAAACATACTTGAGAGTTAGAAATATTTTGGCTTCAACAAGAAGGTGTCCATACTGATAGCTTATTATGTACCCGCACGAGAAAAGATGTAGTAACAACTTTTAAGCATAAATCATTGTCCCAAACAACTTTAGATAAATATTTTATTTCATCTTAAACATTTAATGTAACATAACATATATTTTTTGCCATATACATATAATTATTACGATATAGAGGCAAGTTCTTTAAGACGGGACCTTAAAAAATTATAATTTATTACATTGTGAAATTTATTCTTTTTTATAACTGGTCCTAGTTGAGATTGAAAGTTTTTATGACTACATAGAGGTTATTCCTATATAGAGTATCACTATAGAGATGTTTCACTGTAAAATGATGCGAGGCATCTTTTCACTTTGTATTAAATAGTATAATATATATTATCAATTAATCAATTATAAAGTTTATACCACCACTGTACTATTTTCATTAATATTTAAGTTTATTATAATTTTTCCTTTTAGGTTTCCGTAAATAACCATTCCCTCTTAGGTATCATACATTAAAAATCATATGTTGTCAGTATTTCTTTAGAGTAATACTATACACACAACGTTTCTTATATAATATTATATAGCAAAATATGATTGGTTAATTTTAATTTAAAAGTAAGCTTTTACCCAATAATCTTTTGTCGTATAATATTGTATGAGAAATATTGTACGTGTAGTATTATTCATTTCTTTAAGGTTATACGGTACTGTTTAATTTAACTAATTAAATGTAAAATGTATTTTTATAAGGATATTATTGTTAAATATTTTTATTCGTGGTCTTGGTGAGGTGGAATTAAACGTCTCTCACGGTGCCTTGAATCTTGATAGAAGAGAAATCCTTGACTTGCGCTGCCCTTGACAACTGGGCCAACCCAACCATAATAATGAAGTCCACATGCTAACCGAGCCCAACCCAAACTAATCCAAATCCTTGCCTGTCGCTCAGACTCTCTCGCCTCCCCACCCCAAGAAAAATCAAACGCTCTCTACATTGCGCCTTTCATTATTATTATTATTATAAAAGGGATGATTTCTCCACTTAATCGAATCAATAAACAAAATTTCTTCTCACTCTCTTCTTCTTGTGTTTCTTCACACTCTATCCTCTCACTCTAATTTCCCAATCTTGCCCCAAAATTTCCCTTCAATCCTTTCGCCTCTTGTAATTTTAATCTTTTTTTTTTTAATAATTAAATTATCTTCTCTGTACATGTATCAGGTTTAGGGTTTTATCTTGATTTTCTTTGTATCTATGCAAACTAGGTTTTAGGTTTTGTAATTTTTTTCTATTTGACAGATATTGTACTTTTATTTTATATTTTCTTGAATTGATGATCTCTATGTAATGATGAGAAGAATAATAAAGGAGAGTTTATTAGAGATTTAGATGAATCAGGGTTAGGGTTCTTTTTTTGTTTTATTTTATTTTGCTATTGTATTTCAATGGAAATGGAGAATCCGCGTAGATCATTCGATAGATCGGGTTTAGTTAAAAAACCGCGATTAACGGAAGATCCGACCCGGAGTTTTACTCAGAGACCCGCTGTAACTCAAAGATTTAGTACAAGTAGGGATTCGGAGGTCGATGAACGAGCTGGTGGCGCGTATCAGCCACAGCAGCCGCACCAAGAGCTGGTGAGCCAATACAAGACGGCGCTAGCCGAACTGACCTTCAATTCGAAGCCGATAATAACGAATTTGACTATAATTGCCGGCGAGAATGTTCATGCCGCGAAAGCAATCGCGGCCACGGTCTGCGCTAACATTCTTGAGGTGAAATCCCAGTTTTATTGTAGCTGTTTATCTCTTCCATTGTTGTTTGAATTGAATTGTACAGAAATTATTATTGCGATTAAAAAGGAAAAAAAAAAAAAAATCAGTGTTACTGCTTTAATCTTGGGTTTTTAAGTGAAATAGAAGATATATAATTGTAACTGTAAAGGGGGATCAATGGAATGTTCTGGGTTTTGTAGAAAGTGTTTGCATTGGATGTGGAATTGATGATGTATTTGCAAATTTGAAGCTTTTGAGTTCAATTTTGTGCAAATTAATTCAAGTGCTTTTGTGCGTTGATGTGATTTTTGGAGTTGTATCCGATGTGAGGATATGAAGGAAGATGTGCGGTAATGTGTAAATGTGTTAATCTCTAATTGATGAATTATATAAGAGATGAGAATCATGAGGACCGGTTTCAAAATGCATTGAACCAGTTATCTTAAACCAGTTATTTGATGGGTTTAATTTCATCTATACCACGGTTATGTTCTATTTGTTGTAGATATGCTTGAGTTTGCACGCAAAGAGCCAGCGCTTCATAACCATGTGGTTATTGTATAATATGAGTTGTTCCAAGTTCAGCATCTGATAAAAGTTATTACATTATATCAATTTTGATTTTCTACTAAATTGTGATGTATGTTATTCTCTTGTTCTTCCCCCACTCCTCAATTTGAACTCCCATGAAGCAATGATCCTTCATATGGTCTGATATTTTGAAGACAGCATAAGAGGCACTTTTCTTTGGTTTGTCATTTTCATTATCTTGTATAGGTTCTCTAAGTTTGTTGGGTAATTCATTCTGTCAAATCTGAAGGCGAGATTTACTTCATGATGGAGAGATATGATTGAACCTAAGATAGTATTGTTCTTTGTGATGTTAGCTGACATGCATCAATCCTGATCAATTTGTTGTGGGGGCACGACACCGTGGAAATGGCTTTTGTTCTTTTCCATAATTTTTCTTCTAAACTCTCCCCTTTGCTTTTCTTCAAAGAACTATCAGCAAAAGTTTTCTAGGTCTGCTGGAGGTTGATATTTTAGCTTCAAACGTTAAATTATGCATGGTGCCAGAGGGGAGGACCTTTGATACAATAATTGTTAATATTTTGTACATGGCTCTGTTTAAAGTGTATTAACTGCTGTAGAAGGAAGAGACTGAAGTGACGTAGCTGCTTTAGAAGAAAGAACAAGGAGATGATACAATGGAAAAATATTTAACCAAAGCCAGTTGCAAGGAAAAAACAAGTTTTATTGAGAGGAAAAAGGGATTCATAGACTGTGCTTTGAAAATCAGTTTAGCAGGCGATGCTGGGGAGTTAGGAAACTTAAACGATTTGCTCTATTGTGATGAATGTTCTACGCATTGTGATTTTTTGTTTCTGATTATTGATGAAAAATCTTTAATTAGTTTATGTTTATGTCTGAAACATCAGAACTCTACTATATCTGGTTTCATGTTATTTTTAGAGAAACATTGCTCTTTAGTAACTCTATCCAGTAGCTGGTTTTGATTTTCTTTCTTTCTCTTTGAGTTAGGGGTTGGATTCAGGGATTCTTATTTGGAAAACCTCAGTATAATATACACTTATTTTGTTTGAAGAATTCTGGTTGTAGCGTATCATATCTGATTATAAAAATTACTTGCAGGTTCCCAGTGACCAAAAGCTGCCGTCTCTCTATCTTTTAGATAGTATTGTAAAGAATATTGGAAGGGATTACATAAAACATTTTGCTCCCAGACTACCAGAGGTTAGACATTATTTTTCTTTGTGTGATGCTGTTCTTCTGGTCACAAGTTTCAAATTGGATTAATCAATATAAATTGCTTATCTATCCAAGTTGTTTATATTAGTAAAAGGTGTGCCCCTGAATTGCATCAATGATATGTTTATCTGCTGTTGAGTTGCTTGAAATTCATTTATATATTTCCCGTTAGATGTCAATTTCATTCTTTCTGGAACTCTAGGTCTTTTGCAAGGCTTATAAACAGGTTGATTCTTCTGTTCATTCGAGTATGCGGCATCTTTTTGGAACTTGGAAAGGAGTTTTTCCTCTTCAGACCCTTCAGATGATTGAGAAAGAACTTGGCTTCACTCCTATGATCAATGGTTCATCTTCTGGAACAACATCCAGGCCTGATTCACAATCACAGCGACCACCACATAGCATTCATGTGAATCCTAAGTACTTAGAAAGGCAGCGCCTTCAGCAGTCAGGCAGGGTAAGTGGAATTGCAAAATCAATTTTTTTGCTTGTGGAACCATGTTATTCTCCATTTGTTCCTGACCACATTTTAATTGTTTTCCCCCTTTTTTCCTGGATATTCATTAAATTTAAAAATTGAATAGTGTTTATGATCCACAGTGAATCACTTGTATGTGTCATAAAGTTTTTTTGGGTCATGTCATGACTGATCTGGGGATCAATTCTATGCATGTTAAAAATGTAGTTGCTTTATGGCTTACCAAAGGCAGCTGATAATTTTTTCATCAATTAGCATGTAGTAAACATCTACAATAGTTGTTTTTTTTTAATTGATTGGATACCATCATTATCACTTGGATGTAATCAAGATAGATGACTGTTTCTATCCTTCCTAGGAATCTTTTTGTGAATTTTTTACCAGATCATAATTGTACTGTTTTATCCTTTTCTTGTTCCTTGACTAATTTCTTTCACTCGGTATTTAATATTAATCTGAAATATTTTTGACTAAATTCTTTCTGTTTTATTGGTTTTACGTGAGGAAGGCAAAAGGAATGGTTAATGACATGACTGGGCCTATTGCCAGCACAACTGTAGATGCTGAGAAGCCTGAGAGGTCATCCAGCATCAGCACCAGCAGGCCATGGGTGGAACCTTCAGTCAAAATGCATGTAAGGGGAGTAGTTCATGTTTTCCTATTTTATATATGTGTGTTGAGTAATTATTTTGTTTTTTGGGTCTCATGATATACTAAACTTTTCAGAGCTTTCAGCATTCACACAGAGATGCACTAAGTGAGCCTATTCATGAGAAGAACGTTGGTACAGCCTATGGAGAATACGAATACAGCTCTGATCTTTCGCAGAATTCTGGCTTGGGAATTGGAAGAACCACTGGAAGGGTTATTGATCAAGGAAATGACAAATCTTGGGGTGGAGTTGGTAGCAACATTGCAGAGACAATATCTGGCCAAAGAAATGGTTTCAATATCAAGCATAGTTTTCCAAATTACTCAGCTTCCAAATCTGCAAATGCTGATGCGCATCTGCAGCCAACACAGAAGATAGCAAGTAGAAGCAGCAGTGGCATGTCTAGTAGCTGGAAAAACTCTGAGGAAGAGGAGTTTATGTGGGAGATGCACTCAAGATTATCAGATAATGATGCAGCCAGTATTCCTATCAATTCAAGGAAGGATCGTTGGACTCCAGATGATCCAGAAAAAATGGTAATCTTGGAGGATTAGGATTCTAGAAACTGAGTTCTTACTTTCTGACTTCATGTTGTATATGAAAATCTATTCCTCAGCAAGAAAAATAATTTCTAGAAATATTTGGAGGCGAATGATAGAATTGAAGTCCCTTTGAATGAATGTCTTCTTCCAGTGACTCATATTTTGTTTCAGGTCCCTTTATAGTATTAGTCATAGGATTAACTGAAAAAGTAACGAGGGCTGTCAGACATTTACCGCCAAGAATAAATATGCATGTAGGTCTTTTTCCCATTCTTTCCCCTTTAAGTCAAAAACCCTCTCCCACGTTAACCCTACCTTGAAGTTATAGAGACTTGTGAATGCTTTGTTCATTGATGTGTTTCTCCATGTGGTGGTTAGAGTATTACATTAGGTGCAACATATATTCCTGTGTCAAAAACATGCTAATAGCCTTATATATATTTATTAGTTGCTTCAATTGAACCATTTCAGTGGTTATGGTTTATATTGACTTTATACGAGTGTACTGCATTTAATCTTTTATGCCATCTTGGATCAGGTTATATAAAGAAACGCTATCTGGCCTTACAAGAAAGTCCTCTTCTATCTTGAGGTGGCTTGTTATTGTGAACTTCTTTTTATCAGAATAATTAGTTTGTTTGTAATCCTTAACTGTTATGAGTGGGAAAATTTTGGTAAGCTATGTATGTAGGGTACCTAATGTATTTTACTCCATCTGTGATTTGGGGGTGACATTGGTTCTTTTCTATCTGATTTGCCTATTCCTTGTGATGATTCTGCTCCCCATTTATACAAGTTATGACTGATTTTTTTTTTTTTTTTTCTGGCTGATCGGTGTTATCTGTTGCAGGAATTTGAAAATCGCCTCCAAAAGCCACAAAATGTGCATGATGTTGGGTCAAGGTTTGAAAGAGAAACTGCCACTGATTCCCTTTCTACTGAACAGAAAGATCAAGCAGCTTATGGGCAACGGAAATCTACAATNTATTTTGTTTTTTGGGTCTCATGATATACTGAACTTTTCAGAGCTTTCAGCATTCACACAGAGATGCACTAAGTGAGCCTATTCATGAGAAGAACGTTGGTACAGCCTATGGAGAATACGAATACAGCTCTGATCTTTCGCAGAATTCTGGCTTGGGAATTGGAAGAACCAGTGGAAGGGTTATTGATCAAGGAAATGACAAATCTTGGGGTGGAGTTGGTAGCAACATTGCAGAGACAATATCTGGCCAAAGAAATGGTTTCAATATCAAGCATAGTTTTCCAAATTACTCAGCTTCCAAATCTGCAAATGCTGATGTGCATCTGCAGCCAACACAGAAGATAGCAAGTAGAAGCAGCAGTGGCATGTCTAGTAGCTGGAAAAACTCTGAGGAAGAGGAGTTTATGTGGGAGATGCACTCAAGATTATCAGATAATGATGCAGCCAGTATTCCTATCAATTCAAGGAATGATCGTTGGACTCCAGATGATCCAGAAAAAATGGTAATCTTGGAGGATTAGGATTCTAGAAACTGAGTTCTTACTTTCTTAATTCATGTTGTATATGAAAATCTATTCCTCAGCAAGAAAAATAATTTCTAGAAATATTTGGAGGCGAATGATAGAATTGAAGTCCCTTTGAATGAATGTCTTCTTCCAGTGACTCATATTTTGTTTCAGGTCCCTTTATAGTAGTAGTCATAGGATTAACTGAAAAAGTAACGAGGGGTGTCAGACATTTACCACCAAGAATAAATATGCATGTAGGTCTTTTTCCCATTCTTTCCCCTTTAAGTCAAAAACCCTCTCCCACGTTAACCCTACCTTGAAGTTATAGAGACTTGTGAATGCTCTGTTCATTGATGTGTTTCTCCATGTGGTGGTTAGAGTATTACATTAGGTGCAACATATATTCCTGTGTCAAAAACATGCTAATAGCCTTATATATATTTATTAGTTGCTTCAATTGAACCATTTCAGTGGTTATGGTTTATATTGACTTTATACGAGTGTACTGCATTTAATCTTTTATGCCATCTTGGATCAGGTTATATAAAGAAACGCTATCTGGCCTTACAAGAAAGTCCTCTTCTATCTTGAGGTGGCTTGTTATTGTGAACTTCTTTTTATCAGAATAATTAGTTTGTTTGTAATCCTTAACTGTTATGAGTGGGAAAATTTTGGTAAGCTATGTATGTAGGGTACCTAATGTATTTTACTCCATCTGTGATTTGGGGGTGACATTGGTTCTTTTCTATCTGATTTGCCTATTCCTTGTGATGATTCTGCTCCCCATTTATACAAGTTATGACTGATTTTTTTTTTTTCTGGCTGATCGGTGTTATCTGTTGCAGGAATTTGAAAATCGCCTCCAAAAGCCACAAAATGTGCATGATGTTGGGTCAAGGTTTGAAAGAGAAACTGCCACTGATTCCCTTTCTACTGAACAGAAAGATCAAGCAGCTTATGGGCAACGGAAATCTACAATGTGGCCCTTGAAGGAATCACACTCAGAAGGCTATTCTGCCACCTTTGTTGGGTTGCCTACAAGCACAAGTTCTTCTCTGGCCAGGATGGGAGGTCGTCCATCTGTTGGTTCATCTCATAGTGGGGCCTCAGGTTTTGGGGTTTTGTCAAATTCAGCGGTGGGATCTACCGGAAGCTTGGGGCAACAAAGGTTTCAGTCTGCAAGAGCTGGATCACCCTCTGGACAGTCAGCCATGCTCCAGCGTCCTCCATCACCTTTGTTACCGGCGCATCATCCCCATCAAAACTTGCAAAATTTGTCTGAGCAGGACTATCCTCATGTTCAGTCCCTGCCTAGACCTGATTTAAAAGCATCTCCCTTCTCAGGACATTTAAACAGTGGGCCTATTAGCCGCTCTAGTAAGGATTCCTTATCCGTGCTGCATTCTAATAGTCACCTTGGTAACTTGCAAAAATTTCAGCCCCAAGACTTGAAGGGTTCATCTCCTGGAGGCTCTTCTTTTCAGCAAAGCCGTCACTATCCTCTTACACAGCCACTGCAGCCGGATCCTAAGCAGCCTGAACCTTCTGGTCTGTCTCCAAAGCCACTTCTGCGTCAAGTTTCTAATTTTGGAACTCCCTCAACGATTGGAAATGCATCTGATCATTCAAATACTCTTGATGGAGAAACTTCAGGACAATCAAGCACGAGTACATTGTTAGCTGCTGTCTTGAAGACGGGTATTCTTTCTAACTCGATCACTAGTGGCCTAGCTAATCATACTTTCCAGGACATGGGACAAATGCCATCACAGTCAGATATTCAACCCCCTCTGCCAAGTGGGCCTCCACCTACCCTGGTTACCTCCTCAGGACCCAGGGCTGTGTCAGGAACTTTTTCAGGTCCTGCTTCCCGTGATAAGTCATCAGCTTCAGCAAATGGTTCCCATGGAAAGGTAGAACCACCACCACTGCCACCTGGTCCTCCACCTTCATCTCTTGCGGGTAGTACATCAACACAAACTTCCAATGTTGAAAGCAAGTCTTCAAACCCTATTTCAAATCTGTTGAGCTCATTAGTTGCAAAGGGTCTGATATCTGCATCAAAGAATGAGTCACCATCTCTCTTGGCACTCCAAATGCCCACTCAGACACAGAATCAAAGCCCAGGGGTCTCTTCCAGTAGTCTTGCACCAGTGTCTTTGGTTCCAAGTTCATCTAGCATTCCTCCAACTTCCGTCATGGATGAGGCATCTTTTCCAGAACCTGCTGCTGAAAGTTCGGTTGCTGTACCTCAGTCCACTTCAGTGGAGATGGAAAATCTCATAGGTTTGGAGTTTAAGACAGATATAATCCGTGAATTTCATCCAACTGTGATCAATAGATTGTTTGATGACTTACCGCATAGCTGCAGCATATGTGGTCTTCGACTTAAACTCCAAGAACAGCTTGATAGACACTTGGAGTGGCATGCTTTAAGGTGGTCTGGACCAGATGCTGTAGTTAGAAGGAGTTTTTATGCGAGGTCAGATGACTGGGTTGCTGGGAAGGCAGGACTTCCAATAGGGTTTGAGTCTTCCATTCTGAAAGAGTCTGGTAAAATAATGGACAAGGGTGAGCCTATGGTTCCTGCAGATGATAATGAATGTGCATGTGTTTTGTGTGGTGAGCTTTTTGAAGATTATTATGATCAAGAAAGGGATGAATGGATGTTCAAAGAAGCGGTATATATGACTACCCTGATCAAGGACGGTTTGGCAGAAACAAAAGATGAGAGTGCTGCTAAGGGTCCCATAGTTCATGCAAATTGTATATCAGAAAGTTCGTCTCATGACTTGGGACTTATTAGTGGGGTTAAAATGGTTAGATTCTTGACTTTAAGATTTCAGCGAGTCTTGACTTCCAATGTCTTATTCCTGCATCTTTGATTGGACCTGGCATTTTATGTATAACATGTGTAGTGGTCAAACTCACATATTCCTTTCTGTTTTTCCTCATCTTCATCACCTGATTTTCCCTTTCTTTTTTTTTAATTTTTTTAATTTTTTTAATTTATTTTTTTTTTATTATAGGAAATGGATACGTAATGCGTTAAGGTGAGAGAAACCATGGAAGTGCTGGCTGTGATCACTAGAAGCTGAATTCAGGTTTTCGTTAGATAGCTGAAGTGTGCATGGTCCTTTCATGCTAATTTTGTCATGCCCCAGAATGGTGGTGAGAGCATCTACACGTGCTGCCGTCTTTTTTCTTTTTTCTTTTTTCTTTTCTTTTCTCTTTTTTTTTTTTTTTCTTTTTGTTTTTTAATTTATAATCTGATAAAATGCATATAAATGCCAGATAGTTTTCATCTCGACTCTCTTCGCTAATGTGGTTGATGTGTTCTTTTATAATATTCATCTTTTACCAAAGCGGGGTTGCACTGGGTACCGGCATTTAAACATGAGGCAAAGCACTCTGATCCATAACCATTCAGCTTCAAATTGGCGGATGGGAAGATTGTGCACCATTAAAATATTTTATGTCTCCTTTTTCTTTTCTTTTTCATGCTTCACTTTTAATTGGTTTATGTGGATGTAGCTTTTGTAGTCGACCACTGTTTTGAGTTAAATTGTTTGGAGACAATGATGGTTTATGCTATTTACTTACCCCGCATAAGAGAGTAACATTTTCTTCTTGATGGGTGTGTTATTTTTCGGGTGCGCTTATATTATATAATTTTTTATTAATTGAAAAATATTTCACTTAAAAAATTATTGTGAATGTTTATAGAAATGTATTTGATTAGTTTGAATAAATTATATGTTTGGTTAAGAGGATAAATAGGTAAGAATGTTATATAGATTATTAAATTATCTTCTTTTTTAAATATTAATATAATATTATTTTTTAAATCATTTATTTTAATCCCCTATATGTGGAATTTTGTTAAAACATTTTAGACATAAAATTTTAATTTGTAGCAAAATCACTTTTACCTATCCTAAGCCATTGTCGTTTGTCAGTCACCATTGTCGGTAGTCAACAAAATGGTGCACGATTGGTCGTATATGGTCGATCATGTGTCTACAAAACCATTTTTTAGCTATGGATCACAGATTCGTGGTCGTTTCACAGCCATTGTTTTAAAACCCGACCTGTTGTCAGACTCAATATGGTGATTGGGTCACGAGTTAATCAATTTAACTAGTTGGACCAATGATGTCAACGGTTCAATCGGTTGGATCGATGATGTCGGTAGTAATTTTATTTTTTTTAAATTGTCAATTAATCCCTTAAATTTCAGTATATAAAAAATAACCCTAAAAATCTTTAATTAGTCTTTAAATTTTTTTATTTATTTCAAAAATACCCCAAAAAATTACCAATTAATCCCTAAACTTTTGACATATCTCCAAAACACTCTTAAAAAATTCAATTAGTCCCTATAAATTTGAAATATTACAAAAACCCCCTAAAACCTGAATCAGATTGGAGAAGTTGCCAGGTCCTTATCCGATAGGCCAGGTTTTAAACAATGTTCACGGCCACATCTAGCCGTTTTTGGTCATATATCACAGATTCATTGTCGAAAACAGCCTTACCAGGCACTACCGGTCAGATCCTACCGATCGTGCGCCATTGTGGCGATTGACGTCAGCAACTGGTGGTGGTCTTGGGTGATTGAAAGTATTTTGTTAACTTTTAAATTTTTTTGTGGTTTGGGTGTTTTAGCTAAATTCTCAAATGTAGGGGGGCTAGGAAATGGTTATTTGGTAGACATTTGAGGGAAATTATATCCGAAATGATATTTAATTAAGGGCAAAATAGGTATAAACATCTGATTATCTGGTAATATTTTAATAACATCTCAAGAGGAGGGTATCGGATTATCGCCTACATTACTAACAGTAAACATTATTTGCAATAAAAGATATTCATAATATTTTATTACTTGCAAATCAAACAACAAAATTGTACAAAATAAACGAAGATTACCTTCATTATCTTATATAACTCGATCCAAACGCAACCCCTTTGGCGTTTGCTTTTTGGTTCATTTGTGAGCAAAAAATTATGTGCATGAAGCTGAAGATGTGAATTGTAGTATACTTGGATCTTTCCTTGGACAATTTCATTTACTTGTATTGTGCCAAGGCCCAAAACCTAATACTTTTCAATTAACAAAAACACATTGATTTTTGTATTGTTTATGGAGGAGTCTAAAGAGTGCAAATGGATTCAATTTGAGGTTAAAACTTACAAAATTGAATTCTGAATCTGGGTTTAATGATTTGCTGAGGTACCCAATAATGGAATACGTCAATCCTGAATCTCGAAGACAAGACGACCAAAAAGTGTAGTCAAACCAAAGGTTTTATTATTTTGTTTGATAAACAATTCCTCTAAGTCCCCTATTCTATGGTAGTGGTCAGTCTTTTTCTAATTCGTGACTCTTCATTTTCTTAACAAGATGATGGTAGTAACATTCATAGTTTGAGTGGATTATGTATTACATACAATTTCATATTTAAACACAACTTCTCTACAAAACACTCTTTTTTTTTATTAAGGGAGGTTTTATGATGAAACTCCAGTACATATTCAAGATTAATTCTTCAACTCAAGGCTTGTTATGTTGGGTGTAAATATAATCCAAGTGAGCTTCTGCAATCATCCTTCTCTTTAAGCATTCCTCATCCTTTTCATCACAACCCTCCCTCTCTGAACCCATCAGCTACACAAATAATAAAAATTACCCATTAAGAATTATAACAACCATCAGAAATCAAAATCACTAATAAAAAAGTTACTACCTTCATGAGATCTTCAGTAACCTCTTTGAACGTAGTTGTATGAAGCTTCACCTCCTCTTCACCTGTAAATTGATGACTTAAAATCTTACTGAAGATGTTAAAAAAGTAAGCTACCAAGAATAGGAGGTACCTTGTTTTTGTGCAAGTGAACGTGCAGATATTGAGTGGGATAATAGGAGAAAAAAGATGAGAAATACATGAAAACTCTGCTTCATAGTCATGAATAATGATTATGAGGTAAAGAAAGAAAGAAGATTATTGTAAAAACTGGTGGTGGAGATGAGTTGTATAAATAGAGCATGAAAAACATGGAATGGGAGTTACAAAATACTTTTCTTTTGTTTTTTGTGCAGGCACCCACTACTTCTCTATCCCTTTTTTGTTATGCGATAAGAGAGAATCATACCACAGTAAAATTTCTTTAATAAATATATAAAAAAGAGTGAATGACAATTTCCCACCCAAGGTTTGTCCTAATTACTTTTTCCACCCATATTGAGAGAAAAAAAATTCCCACCCATCATCAATTTTCGTCAATACCATCACCTGACGGAGATAAAACTATGAAAAGACTAATACTTTTTACTATTTGACTTTATAATTTTTAATTTGGCTAAATATTTTTTCCCACCCAAGCTTTATTAGATGTATTTTTCACCCCTGGTTTGGTTTATATTAATTTTAGGGTTAATAAACTTCTAAAAAAATTAAAAATAAATTCAGTTATTAAAAGTTTAAAAAAAATCAAAAATAAAATAATTAAAAATTTTGAAAAAAAATGAAAAAATAAGTTGGTCGAAATCACACTTGACTAGGTACGATTCTGGCCAACTTTTTTTTTTTTTTCAGTTTTTTAATTTTTTTAATTTTCATAATTTTTTATTTTAGATTTTTCTTATTTGTTTACATTTTTTCAGTTTTTTTGTTTGGAAATTATATTTTTATATAATTTCATAAAATATATACAATTTTAACGAAATATTGTTTTATAGTTTTATAAATATTTAATTGATAAATATTATTATAATTTTTAAAAATAATATACACAATTTTAAAATTTTGTTAGAAACACATGTACTTTAAAAGTGGAACCTCTATTGTAATTATAAAAATTAAAAATAGAGGTTTAAATGGCTAATTTCCAAGTTGGTGAAGGTAATTGTTGTGTTTGAAATTTAGTTTTGTAAGTAACATTGACCCTATAATATATGTTGTGTAAACTCACAATAATGTCTTTTTGCTGTTAAAGCTAACGTCTGAATTTAATTATGGGTGGAAAAATGTTTTTTTCAAAGTTTATGGGTGGGAAAGTAATTACGGCAAACTTTGATGGGAAAATGCATTCACTCTAAATAAAACCCACTAATTATCTCTATAATTATGTTCATTTTGAATTATTGACGCAGGAATGGATTAAAAAAAACCATAAAATAGTATCTTATTGAGGAGTCGAACAGTTTGAAAAAAAAAATTCCTAAGAATTGTATGATACTGTCTAATTTTCGGTTCCTGATTCATTCATGATATGTGTCTTGGCGTTTATTATTTTTTTAATTTATCTAAAATACCCTTAAAATTACAAAATATATATATATCAAAAAAATATTCAATTAAAAAATCGATAAAACTGAACTGTGTCAAACCAATTGTTTCAGTTCGATATGGTTTAATTATTAAACAAACACAAAATGATTCGGCAAGATTTTTTTGTACCCGCTTAAAAAATCCTCAACTAAAAAAATGAAGAATACTAAACTGAATCAAACCAATTTTTTCAGTTGGATATGGTTCAATTATTAAACAAACACAAAATGATTTTTTTGGTGACAAGGATCATACTTTTCTTTGATGAGAGACTATTTTACTTCTTACAAAAATGAATGATAAAGGGTAAAAAAAAAAAAAAATGTATACAGAAAAGGAGAAACTAATAATGGAGTGTCGTTGTCGCTTGTTAAAGGTGGTCCAAACTCCGAAGTGAAGTGTGGGTTAATCAAAACAAAAGAATACTGAAAGGAGTCACGCTTTAAATTAAAGTAAAATTGTATGCTTTATGCCATATTTTGCGTGTAGGAAAATTATGGTGTCAACCCGAAGACTGGCAGCTGTTTTCCATTCAATTGCTTTCGTTTAATGTGAATCCTTTGACTTATTTCAATACATTAATATTCTCTTTATTTATATTACTACCACACTTGTAATTTTTATCAGAGGAAAAGAAAATAAATACATAAGAGGATGGGTTATACTGTCCCATACAATCTTATTTATTTTGGATTTACTTTAAGCTACATGTCAAGTAATAACTTAAAATTTTAATCCCAAATGAAAGTAACGTGAGTTGACTTGTATATGTAAAAGATGGTCTATGTATATATGATATAGTCATTTCGCAAAGAATGATAGAACATTTGAAATACCACTAGTATTATTTGATCTTTTTTTGGAAGAAAAGAAAAACCTTAGACTAAGTGACATTTTGGGGTCATTGTTTAATCAAGTCTATGTAGCAAGGCAGCAGACAAACTCACGGATCCAATTTGAATGAATAAAGGAGCAATAGAGAAGACAAAGGTAAAACATAAAACCTAGGAATAGCTAATTAGATATTAGACAGTGTGCAATTGTGGCTTTTTAGGCAATGTAAAGTTGAAGCATGACAATTCCACTCACTCATCACACCATTTTTATTACTTGTGCTCTAATATGTAATCTAACCTGCAGGTTCCAGTTACTTTACCGGTACTATATCATAAAAAGCATATTTCAAACTTTTCAAAAGTTGAATAAAAAGCTATTTGGACTACCCATGTTGTTTCCATCTCATGATTAAGGGATTAAATTAAATTTGTGAGCGGTTTTATGTAAATGACAAGAGTCGTAACACACTAACACTATCACCCAAAGTATAGCTTGGGGACCTATTACTCAAGGGGGGTCACACCAACAAGGTTAATCCCTTTGGGTCTCCAAACTCAAGGGAGTCCAACTCAATTACCCCACCTTGAGACCCATGGTGTGAGAGAGGAAACTCTTAGAGGGTGATCACCCCTTACCTTAGGGGGTTATCCCTAATGGTGGTGGATCGTTACTTGAGGAAGGTCATTCTCGTCATTCCCACTCTATGAAGGTGAGCAAGGTTGTGACTAAATGCATTGTGGTTGCCTAAAGGTTGGAGGCTCAAAACATCATCTCGTCATGGTTCGCTTTGTTGCCTTCTTCTGGCCCTTTTAGCCTAACTAGGGCTCAGCCTGAAGCTATGCAACTTGTTATAAGGGATTCATCCTATGAGGAGACACAAAGCACTATATTAGTGGACCAAGTCTCCAATTAGCAACCTTAGGGTGTGTTTGGTTGGGGGTAATCTCTCATTACCTCAGTAATATCATCTTATATTACTTAGATTACCACGTTTTGTTATCAAGTAATATAAGATTTCGATAATCTTTCAAAACCAATAGTAATTACTGTTGGTTAGATAAGAGGCAATCTGATTACATTTCTTAGGTATTTTAAGATTACTTGGTAATCTTATTTTTGTTACAACTTTACCTTTAACTAAAACTTTTTGGACAATAATGCCCTTATTTTGAAAAAAATTACACATATATTCATGGACTATTTTATCCTTATATATAAAATTTTTAGGACATAAATACCCTTAAACTTGAACAAAATTACCCAAGACTTGTGGTCGAATCAGGCCACCACCGATGCTACCAATGACTGACCACCACCGCCGATCACTGACGTCAAAAAGCCAGATATGGTCGACCGTGCACCTTAGTCAACAAACAACGGCCAAATAGATCTAACAGTTGTTGACGACTAAATTATGGTCGTTAACGATGGCCAGAATTTTGGTCATAGATCTGGTTGAAAACAGCTAGATTGACGCACGACCAGTTGGATCCGGCCGATCGTGTGCCTTTACGGCAACTGTCGACGACTGCCGGCGGTGGTGGCCAATGGTCGAAAGTGGCTAGGGGTTGGTAGGGGTGATTTTGTTACAAATTAAACTTTTATGTGGCTAGAGTGTTTTAGCAAAATCCCAAATGTAGGGGGGTTAAAAGAAATTATTTAAAAAATAATAATAAAAATAATATTATATTAATATTTAAAAATGAGGGCAATTTAGTAATCTATATAATATACCCACCAATTTATTCCCCTCAACCAAACATATCAATATAATATACCCACCAATTTATTCCAACCTAACAAAATACATTTCCTTAAACATTCCCAGTAATCTTCAGGCTATGTTTGGTTAGGGTTGTGGGCAAATAACTCATGTTATCTATCTTTGATTCCAGACATTCCTTTATTTGGCTTGATGGTAATACAAGATTACATGAATGTTTTCTTTCCAATAGTGAATACTATTGGTCATTTTGGGGGTTATCAGATTACCTAGACCAAGGGTGTTAATCTTTTTTTACCGGGGTTATTTTTTTTCCCAAATTTGCCCTTAAATAAAAGTCATTTCAAATGTCTAACAAATAACAATTACCCAGACCCCCTATATTTGAGAATTTAGCTAAAACACCTCAGCCACAAAAAGTTTAAAAGTTAACAAAATATCCCTAACCACCAAAGACCACCACCGGCCACTGGCAATAGTAGCCAAATTGACGCACGACTAGCAGAATCTGGTCGAATATGCGCCGATTTGGCTGTTTTTGGCCATATCGAAGGCCGAAAACGACCATAATAGATCTGACTGTTTGTGGCCATTTCTAGCCAGATCCACGACAATCTGGCTGTTTTTGGCCTTCAATCTAGCTGGAAATAGCCAGAAACAACCAAAACAGCGCACGGTAGGCCAAATCTCGCCGATGGTGTGCCGCTTTGGTGACTGCCTGTAACAACTACTGAAAACTAGTACAATGCATGCATAATAACAATGTAAAATTGGGCCCCAAAAATTTCTTTTTATTATAATTCATATGTCTTTTATACACAAAGAGTACTGTTTACAAAAATTTGTTTTAAAAGACAAAACAGGGGAAACAGTGTAGCTATTCCTCTTCGCTTGCCGACGCCCCTCCGACTGCATCATCACCTAGATCCTGCATCCACAAAGGAAAATAACGGGGTGAGCACGAAATAATGCTCAGTAAGTAAAACCCTCTATCTGTCTGTCCCCGTATGTATAACTCTTAATTCTTTCCTTATACTATTTCTGATTCTATCTCTGTTTCTCTAAAGCACATGGCCCTCTCTTACCGGAGGTACGCCGGATGGCGTTCACAAAGCACCATCTCACTCTTCATGAATATCGGGTGGAATTCACACAGTACTAACCCGTTCTTAGTGACTACCGA